TGTTTATATCTTCTTTCTTATAGATTTTGGCATATGTATCTCTAATATATTGAAGGGTATTTTCATATGATTGTGATGAGGTCTCAGGATTCTTGATGTTCTTTAAAGACAAATGAGCTTTTCTGATTTTATATCTAGTGAAGAAGTATTTTGTAGATTTTTCTCCCTGCTCAATCCATTATACTTTTGAGCATATTTGCCATTTTTCTGTAAAATGTGATAGTTTATCTTAGAGGTTTAGATTTAGTCTATTTGTCTGATTGTATAGAAAAGAATTTTCTGAATTGTGAGCTAGTCATTTCTTCAACTGAGTTATATTTTTATTTAGCTTTATAATTTTGTTTTCGGTAGCTTTTGGCTTTCTGAATGCTCTTATAATAGATTGAATATGGACTTTACAGAAGTCCTATTCATTAGCTTCTTCAACTTCTGTGATTTCTTCTAGTACTTTTTTTTCAGTTTTTTGTTTAAGAAGCAGCTTTTGTTAAATCTCCAGAGATCTGACTCCCTTTCTTTGGCTTTAAAAAAAAGAGTGCATTCTACCAGAAGATGATCTGAGTTGCCAAACTTAGTTTCAATTTGTGAGATAAGATGTGCATTATTTTTATTGATAAAAATATAATCTAAATGTGTAGCCATAATCTGATTGCCTTGTGTTTTTTGAACAAATGTATGAAAGAGTCTCGATTTGGCAAAATTTGAGGTGTCTGTAAAGTTTTTAGTAAGGCTTAGAAGTTGCAATCTTGTTGGGTCTTGTTGGGGTACTGCTTCACTAGTTCTATCCTTTTTAGGATATAAGTTGATATTGAAGTCACCTCCGATTATGTTGATAGCATTTTTATTAACTTGTGGTGACCATTTTTCGAAGAAAAGTTTTCTATCATTTGGATTCAGAGGTGCATATATATTGGATATTTGGAATGTAAGATCTTTGAATTTGAAAGTAGTAGTAATAATTTTATTGTCTAAATCTATTTTTGTGTTTTTGAATATTATATCTTTGTTGCCTGCAAGTATAGCTGTTTTGTTTGACCAGATTGAATCAAAGATCCACTAATTTTTAAGAAAGCTCTGTGTGTTTTTGTCATTTAAGTTTGTTTCTTGTAATATAATAAGGTCTAGTTTGTAAGTTTTCAGAAGAGTTAAAGTGTTTTGTTGTTTTTGTTGATTGTTAAGCTCCTTTACGTTGAGGCTTGCAATTTTAAATTTAAATTGTTCAGTCATATTAAAGCAAAGTAGTACAGATTTCAGATCTGTGAATTCTGTGCTCTATTACAAGGTTTCTTGTATGGAGCAGGTCTGGTTATTTCACTTTTCTGATTTATAAGGTTTTTTTTACTTTTTTTGTCTTTTTTTTTCCTTTGTAGAATTAAAGTAAAACCATTATCTGGATTCTCTGATTGAAGTTGTAGCTTGTTGTCATTTGTAATTAGCACAACTGGAGTGCTTAGAGCTTTTGGTTTTTTGATTTCTATGAAAGAACCTATAGCTAGATTTTCTATAGCAGAAGCATCATTTTCAGTGCTGTTCATGACTTCATTGACTAGACTAATAAGATCTTTTTCTGCTAGTGTGGTACTGTTTATTTCATCACTTTCTTGGCTGATAGCCATATTTAATGAGGTTTCTTCTTGTTGAGGTTCTTCAATACCAATCTCTTCTGGAAGGATGTTTTGTTCTTGCTGAATTGCATTTAAATTTTCTAAGTCTACTGATAGAAGCTTTTCTTTTTTTTTGTTAGAGAAAAATTCTTTGTATTGATGACAAAGTTCAATAGCTTCCTTGTACTGATTACAATCTTTTTTAATATGTCCCTCATTGTCACAGAAGTAGCAAAGTTTAGAAGTCACATGCCATTCTGTGATAATTTTGTTGTTTAGCAAAATATAGAACTGAGAGATTCTTTTTTCTAAATCTGAGTCTTTTGTAGTCTTAAAGGTAATGATCTACTGGTCAGTTAAGTAAAAGGTGCCTTCTATTAACAATGGCTTAATTGAGGCAATTTTACCAAAGTTCTCAAAAGCATTTTTAATTCTTTCAGAAATAAATTTCTTGTCACCTAAAGGAACATTTCTGATCTTAACTGGCAAAAAGGATCTTCTAAAATCAACTGGAATATGTCCATAGTATGTACAATTAAAAATTTTAACCCTTTTTGTAGCATAGTATTTGAGCTTTTCCTTATTAGTAAAGAGTAGCTCTAAATGAGTGCAAGATTCTCTATTTACATGTGGTTTAGCAGCAATTATGTCATGTCCTGCTGTCTCATAAAGAGAAATCATAATTTTATTTAATGAACCATTGAGACTATGAATATCTAGTATAAGTGCATTATCATTTTTAGATCTTATGTTGTTTTTTGATGAGAATGAAGAGAAGGTTGATTGCCCTTTCTTGACTTTTGCAAATAAACTTGACCATGATTTCCTTAAGACCTCTTTGTTTTTGTTTATACTAGTTGCATTAGTTTTTGCAAAAGATGTGTTGTTTTGTTCTATATGCAATGTTGTTGTTTTGTTTTCTTTGTTATTTTGTTTTTCGAGATGTGTTTTAGAGCTAGACATGACTGAGTTGCTATTTTGATTATATTTTTTTTTGAGAAGTCTTTTTTCATTTTCCAATGTGACTTGTTCATCCCAGCTGATACTATTTAAGGAGTCATCTTGCATAGAGACAGTTAAATCATCATAGGTAATTTCTGTTGCCATAGTACTTTTTTAAGAAAGAAGTTAGTTTCCATTTTTGTTAGTTGTTTTTTAGACAAAAAGGTTATTGTCAGTTTAGTTTTCTTGTTTCTGTAAACTTCAAAGATAAAAGTCTTATACTTTCTAGGATCAAGGGGGAGAGCTCCTGTTCTGCTACTGTTTTTAAAGTTAGTAAAGCCCTGAATAGAGTTTATTTTGTCTTTTCAAAATTACCCTCTTTCCTAAACGTGATAATCAGGAGAGAGTGATTGTTGATCTTTTTTAAATTAAATATATTTAAATTTTTAATATAAATTAAAGTATTAAAGTTTTATTATTACAACTTTTTCTAATAATTATTTAAATCAAACTTTCCAAAAAGCTGAACTACAGAAAAATAATATAGTTAATATATTAAACTTTATAAAAACCTTTCTAAAATACTATATATATGTAGGTAGACATTAAGAGCAGAATGCATTATTTTAAAATTATATATAAACTTAGTAGTAATTCTTTTTTATATTTAAATTTATAAAAAACTATATTAAGTAAACT